AGCTGAATCCCCTCCAGCACGTTGGTGATGTCGTAGATCCGGCGCTTCTGCACCTCCAGCACCTCGGCCGCCCGGTTCAGGTCCAGCACCCCGTCCTCCGACTCGCTCAGCAAGTGGATAAACTTCTTGGTCAGCAGTCCCAGGGAGGTGTCGTACCGCGTCTTCTCCCCGGGCGACTTGGGGGCTGTCGTGGGCGGGGAGAGAGGAGACAGGTCAGGTGGGCTGAGCCGGGGAGAGGAGCTGAGAAAAGTCACAATGCCGCCCAGAGAACGGGCCAGGCTGATTCAAAATTCAACAGCTGCTGGCTAGAGGCACGCAAGGCTCCACCCACGGGGGCTGCCGGGAGCGCAGCCTGCAATGGGTTTCAACAGCCTAGCGCAGAGGGAGGCTGGGTCCCTCCACTTTAGCTCAAGCAGCGGAGGCTCATGCTTTCAGTGCCGACGGGCCTGGGTTCAAACCCCACGGCGGGTCCAAGCAGGGTCAGTCACAGGTGCTCCTGTATTTATGTAGCACTAAGCCGGGTGGGGGTATACTGGAAGCAGATGCTCATGGGTGCCTGTTCGCTCCAAGCCTGTCCTTCCCCACAGGAGGACGGCACGGACTGTTCCCAACTACAACGCACACTCGGCTGCCTGAAGGCCACATGGCAGCCCCACCCCTACAGAGCTGGCTTCCCCCATCCCTGTGTGGAATATCCCAGCGTCACTACACGGCACTTTCCTGGTGAGAAACGTCACCAGGACCCAGCTGCTTTGGACAGTGGGGCAATGCAGGTCCTTTGCATGGGAGCCCCCCACCCAGGCATACATCTCCCCTCCCTCACATCCCGCCAGCTCAGCACCACTTACTTTTGGGGCTGGGGATTCGAGTGACTGTCCTGCCCTTCCCCTTGGGTGTCCGGAATTCTGGGATGCCCGGCTGGCCGGTCCCTTCCAGATCCAGCTTCCTTTTGGCCTGATGGGCAGGAGAGAGAATTCCAGTTAGTTCAAGAGACGGACCACCAACAGTAGCACCCACGACCTCATTTTGCCCTCTGGAGGCCCACACAGCACCCACGACCAAGGCCCACCGTCGTCTCATCTATCACCCTTTGAACACACTGGTCCCTTCTGGCCTCGGAATCGAGGCCTGTAAGCTCTCTGGGGCAGGGAGCCTTTGTACAGCGCCTAGCGCAACGAGGCCCTGATCTTGGCTGCCGCTATTGTAAAGCAAATAAACGAAATCGTAACCAGAACTCGAGCCCGGTCTACAGCAGGGGTTTGCCGCAGCTGCAGCCCGGGGTGCCCAGTGCTCGTGTCGGCCTTTAGCATATGGAGCCTGCCTCCAAACAGGTGGAAACTGCACCTGTGCAAATCACAGCTTGGGGCAGGGCTGTCCTGGGAACACCAGGGGATTGCATCAGCGCAGCTGCACCAGGGGGGCTCAAATCCCCAGGGAGCGGTTACCCCACCGGGTCAGATCCCTGCAGCTCCCTTCCCCCTCCCCCCAGGAACTCCATCACGGCCCAGCCTCTCTGCGGAGCAACAGGGGCCCGATCCTGCCAGGTCCTTGGCACCGGCGGCCGGGATACGGGGAGCTGGAGCTGCCTTTGAGGCCAGCCACAACCCCCACTGCCCCCCATGAACCAGGAGCTCATCCCCAGGCTCAGAGCTGGGCCAAGCCTAGCGCTGTTTGGGGCCCTGGTACAAACCCAGCACACGCAGCCCTCTGGGAGCGGCCGCAGGGAGTTACCATGGACGGCTGCTCCGCGGCCTATGGGGCATTCGCTGCTGGGTCACAGTCCCACACACTGAAGCCCGGGCATCCATGTCACTGAGCCTCCATCAGGATTGGGCCCCGCTGCTGGCAGATGCAGAGAACTGACGGGCCCGTTCTCTAGCTCTGAAGCCCCAGGGCAGGGCTGAGGGGCTGCGTGCACTGATCTGAGCCCGGCCGCTGCTCCGTGCCCAGAGGCCTTTCCCTGGCGCTGAGCGCGCTATCAGAGAGCCCGGCCACAGGAAAGCGCTTGCGTGAGACGTGTCCGGTTACAACAGCGGATTCTGGGAACCGGCTGCAGCTCAGCCCCGGGTGGGGGCAGAGGGGCTCGCTGGGGGCATTGCCCTGTCCCATGAGGAGCTTGGGGGCCCGCCCCGAACCCTTCCAATTGCACAACAGAAGGGGCGAGCGACCCCCGGCGGGTTGGGAAGGGGAAGCAGCACGTGGCAAGGCCGGGCGGCCGGTTCCCAGCAGCTGCCAGGTCGCTTCCTGCCCACTTCCTGAGCGGCACTGGAGGCTGGCTCGAGCGCTGCCTGCCATTCCCACAAGTGCTTCCCTTTTGGCACCGGCTCCTCCAGGCCGGGTGGCAGACCCTTGGAGCCGTATTGCCGGGCACCGCGCCAAACCAGAAAGAAGGAAGATGGGGAAAGCTCCCTCCCCTGATGCCCAGAGAGCAGCTGGCACAGTCCGCACCCAGGGAAGGCCGGGCTAGCAGTTGTCAGGATACGGACACCATGCAATCAAGGCAGCAGGTAGTGTTAGTGGGCAGGGCTCCCGCGCTGCCAGCTGGCGAGGGGACCGGACGCTGTGATCCACCGTCCACACCTTCATCCCGGGTCCCTGCAAGGCTGCTACAACACACCCATCGCGCTGAAGCTAGAGGTCGACAGGAGCACGTCATACGAGCCCTCCAGCAACTCCACCAGCTCCCCATTCATTGCCAGGAGCCTGGTCCTCAGAGACAGCCTCACCATCCGTGAGCCCCCGAGCTAGCCAGGGGCAACCCAACCGTGAGAGCCCCACTGTGCCTCTTGGGCCTTGGGGGAGGGCCACTTCCAGCCCCACGCTGTGAAACGCCTTGCCTGAGATCACACCAACGCTGCTCAGTCATATCTGGAACCACACACCAGCTCCGCTCCCACCAGGAACGGCCACAGAAGGGTGTAAGAAGCAAGAGACAGATAACACGGGATAGCTCAGTGGTTTGAGCATTGGCCTGCTAAACCCAGGGTTGTGAGTTCAATCCTTGAGGGGGCCACTTAGGAATCTGGGGCAAAAAAAATAATAATTGGGGATTGGTCCTGCTTTGAGCAGGGGGTTGGACTAGATGACCTCCTAAGGTCCCTTCCAACCCTGAGATTCTATGATAACACCCTACCCCATCATCCCCCCCTCTCCATCTCTTAGCGATCACACACACCCGCAACAGGTGAAATCCCAGCTTTGAACAAAGCTCTGCTGGGTTCCTTATCCTCTAGGAGTTATTTGTTCCCAGCGCAGCATCTTCCAGACACGGTGCGTCTTTTCCCCTCCCCCAAAACTCTACAGAGAGAAACGACTAGAGACGGACCAAGCGAGGGCTCTTTGGGTCTGGACCATGACTAGCCTTAGGCTCCGGGGTAGGTGTCGAAGTTGGGCTTGGGTTGGACCGTGCTGACATCAGCCGTCAGCGAAATGTCCCCGCCTCATCTGAGCCGACACACAAGGCTCCGTTCAAGTTTTGCATCAGTAACGAAAATATCCAGGGGCAAGTTCTGATCAGGGAATTGGTAGCCGGAAACGCTGAAGGTTCAGCCCAGCTCAGATAGATGCCGAGGGAGAGGGAAGCGAAGCCGCGCCGGAGAGAGATTTGTCGAGACAAGATCTGAGAGGTGACGGCAGGGAGGCTGCTCCAAAGGGCAGGAGCTGCAGAGGAGAAGGCTCTTGAACCAGCCGGGGCAAGACAGCGTGACGGGCTCATGAAGGAGGCTGGCGCCAGACAAGGGGAGGAAACCGAGATGAGTAGAGAGAGGAACGGCACACGAAGTCCGCTGGATCGAGCCCACACTGGGGAAGGTCCCAATCCCCAAACACAGCAATTGAGCGGTTAACAGAACCATACCCCAGGAGCGTTGGAGCAGCCGATCAGAAAGCCATGGGAAGAGGGATCCCCCTGAATGCCCATCCCCTCTTTTCTGCACGAGCGGCTCTCAGGCCAGTCTGTTCTACTTCTGTCCCTGCACAGCTTTTCATGCCTCTAGTATCGGAGCGCCTTCTAGTCATGCATTAAGCAACATAACGTCAGTCACGGGCGGTTCACCCTCTCCCCGGGGAGAACTGCACGTGGAGCATTCTTGCCGGGCTGTCCTTTTTGGGGGCAGGACGGGAGGGAAGCAGTTCTACGTCCATGCGGCTCTGCCATTATATCAGAGAAGGCAGATCATAGAAACGGGTCCGGCCCTCGGCCTGGTGGTCTGGGACGGCCCTTCGTTCCTGTGGGCGATGCTTCCGCAGTCTCACCCTGACCCCCCCCAGTCGAGCTCTACCCACAGAAGCCCCTGGCAGCCGAATGGTTAAACCCAAGCACATGGGAAACACCTGCCAAAGTAATAATACCACAAGCACATCTGCTGCGCCAGGCTGCCCCCCATTTAGGCCCGGAAACCAGAGACAGCGGTAGGGGAGGGGGAGGGGGGGATCTTCTTGGTTTCTCCCCCTCCCCTCTGCCCACAGGGCATCTGTTGGCAACAAATTAGTTAGCGAGGGCCAGCAACAGGTGGCTGTAACAGTGCATGGCTGGCGTGGCCAGGCAGGGAGCGGCCCGGCTGCCAGCAGGGCCAGCCCCCTGTGCCAATGCACCAGGTGTCGGGAAGGAGGAATTTGGGAGCCAGTCTGGTGCTTACTTTTCACTAACAGCAGCGCCTGGGAATGGGACCACAGTCCCCTTCGCGTCAACCCCCGCCCAGAGATGCCTCCTTAAAGTCCATCACCACCGCAGAGCTACCAATGCACTGGTGGCATCACGGCCCCCTGTGATAGGCCACGGGCCACGCCCGCCCCCAGGCCACCCCACAGCGCCCTCCTCTGGACGTTCGGCTGCACTGTGCAGGAGAGGCTTGGGCGTTCCGGATACCGCTCCACAGCTGGTTTCCAAGTGATGTGGGGAGGGGCCCATGCCAGGGACTCTCAAGGTCAAGAAAGGGCTAAATTCCCTCCCTCCCTGTCTAGACACACTTCCCCTGCGCTAAAGATGCCAGCTTGGACGCTGCCTCGCCCCTACCCCCAAGAAAGGGAGTTCTGGGACCAGCCTGGATGACTGGGAAGGGGAGAGCACAGGGTACATTCAGATGGTAACCCCCAGCTAGTATCTTGCACGGCTCATCAACAGATCTCAAAGCACTTTACAAAGGAGGTCAGTATCACTAGCACCATTTTCCAGGTGGGGAAACTGAGGCACGGAGGAGGGGAAAGTGACTTGCCCAAGGTCACCCCGCAGGCCAGTGGCAGAGCTGGAAATAGTCCCAAAGACTCTCAAATCCCAGTTCGGGGTCCTAGCCACACTGCAAAGAGGCTCCCAGATGAGATGTGATGGGAGGAGCTCGGAATCCGCTTCTGCTCCCCGAGGCACTGTCCTGACACCCCTTTGCCTTGGGCCAGGCCCGTTCCTGGCTGCATACCTGCATCCTCCCGCAACTAGAGCCCCCGTGAAGCGACTGCAGAAGGCAGACGCGACTCAGCGCTACAGCAGACCAATGGAGCTCCCGAGAACGGAGGAGATCGGTCGCGCCCCATCCAGGGCACGCGGACAAACGAATCCCGCTGGCGATACACCAGCGCTGCACCCTGGCCTCTAGAAAGATCTTGCAGGATTGGGGACTGGTTAAGATGTGGAACGGAGACACCCCAGGGCAATCTCGCTGCTGCAGAGGTGGTATCAGAGATGCAGTAGGGGGCACTGTCCCCATGGCAGTACTGCGCCTACCCAATGCCGTTGGGGGATGCTGTGCTGCTGGAAGGGGGCCCACCCTTTGGCTGAGGCAGTGGGTACCAGCAAAGATCCTTTGGCCAGGGGCCCTGCCTAAATCCACACTCCGGGAACGACGTTCCCCCCTCCTTAGCCCCTCTCCCTGCATTCTGCTGCCTGACCAGCCCTGTTACACAGCTGTCACAGTCCACCCCAGAAGTGGCTGCATTTCAGCGCTGGGTGAAGCCCTCCCCAG